CCAAAATAATATTGAAAAGGAAAACAAATTGTGGGTTGAACCGGAACTTCAAAACATTTTTTTGTACTTGGATATTTTTACAACTGAACTGTTTATAGCCGTACGAACGTATGTTCGAAGGGTGTATTAAATTTGCCTTATCGTTCGTAACACTAGGAAATAATGGTTTGAGATATAGACTCAAGTGTATGTTTTTAATTAGCGTCGAATTCTGAGTCGATTTAGCATTGTCTGTCCGTCCTTCCGTCCGTCTCAACGATAACTAAAAAACTAATTGAGCTAAGCTCACCAAATTTTCACAAATAATTTATTTTCTATTTAAATGGGATATGATGGGGGTACTGGTTCGAGCAGCTGCCATACAACTTCAAAACTTATTTGACTTTAGCTTTGGTATTGAAATTTTACACAAGCGAATATATTACTAGGGCCAAATCTGCTATACAACGTCAATAGTTATTTTTCCATATCTTAGAAAAAATTGAAAACACAGTCCTGAAATTTTGCATAAATTTATATGGCAATATGGCAACTTAAAATCATAATCTGTTCCATAGTCAGCTATGACATATTAATTCGCACATAGGATAACAAATTCGTACGGGTATCACAGAGTTGACACGGTCAACTCCATTTTTGCTCATGTTTTTGTATAGTTGTCCTTTTTTTAAAATTACAAGGATTTAAAAATAAATGAAGAGAATATTCTCACTTTCTCACTACGTTTAATTTTCAAAAAAATTTTTTTTAAATTACTTTAATATTTCATGTACCAAAATAAATTTATGACAAAATTTAAGATTTTAGAGAGGTTCCTATTGCGACAACAACAATAATAAAAAAATAATTTACAATAAAATACACCTAATTTTATAAGAAATTATATAAGTTTAACTGAAGTAAAGAAGTGGTGAAAATTCATTTAGAATTGCAACACAAAATTGTACAAAATTCAAGGACTTTCAAAAGAAAATTTCAAAAATTAAAAATCAATTTGAAAAAATTTTCAAGAACAAAAATATTTTTTTTTCTTCTTATTTTCTTATGTATGTGTGTAAGAATTTTATTTGTTTTCACTTATTCTGTTGGTTTTTTTTTTCAATATAATTTTAAAAAATTATAAATATGCATAAATTTTTGAAAGTGGTTTTGTTGCAATGCCAACATTACATTTTATACATTGCTTATAATTCAGTTTTATTATATGTACATGTGTAGATTTGAATTAAGAAGAAATATTTTTCATGTATGTTGTATAATATGTGCATAACATACAACTAAACTCATTGAACCGAAAATATTACAGCATGTGCTGTAAGATTTTCCAAATTATAAACTCTTACATATTTATGAATTTCAATGATTTTATTGTACTGCATTCTAAAATTTTTTTTTAATTTTAATTTAATTTCAGGAAATTTAATTTTTATTAAAGTAATAAGAAATTTATGAATAATGAAAATATTAAAGTTAAAGTATCAAAAATAAAATTTGCTACAATTTAAAATTAAATGTATGCTTTTTAATAATTTTATGCATACAAAAGTGTGTAATCGAAATATATATTTATATATCGAATATACAATCGATACCGAAGAGAACATATTCCAAAAACTTATAAATATTTAACAGTTTTGATTAAGTTTCATATTTAATTGTGGCATGAGTTATTTTTCAGACAATTGGAAGAAATTTTTTTTAATTTTAATCAAATTTTAATTCTCTTTGAACAAATACGCTTACACCCATTGGTTATCTAGTACTCCCTTTAAATAGAACAAATTTAATCGGCCTGGTTCAATTCATTTAAACTTGTGCACAGGAATTGTAAAGAGACGGCGAATTTAAAAGTCACTAGGTTGCCTTACGGTGTCTCCATTTCCGGAAGTACTGTTGAAGATATCAGCCTAAGCATTACTAGTGCCATAATATACTGTCCGACTATGAAAATTAAGTTGGTTTTGATATTTACACCATATTTTAGCTGTACATGCGGCTCATTTAGAGTTTCCGAAAACGATGTTAAAATAAGTTTTCTTCCAAATCAGAGCAATGTACCTACAAAAAGAAATGTCGCTGCTGGAGTTAACTGGAAATACGATATGTAAACTTATATACTGCATTTTTCTCTCAACAACTATTATCTAAACGGATTGTAATGGAAAATTCCAGTTACTTGCTTTTTTGAGTCTCATAACATTATTTGCTGCCCTGATGAGTCGAACCCTGCATGGGATGTCGAACGGATGCAGCGACTTTTATGCACAAAACCACAATATTTCGAACCCATATAAACGTAAAACAGGGTACTAAAAATAGAACTAGAAAACTGGCTATTGCAGCTCTACGCACAATATCTTTGAGCTATGATTACCACTATAGGTCTTTTAAGAAAATTATGGCAATTGAGCAGTGATGATAGTTGAACGTTTTGTGGGAAAGTTAGATTACATAATGTTTAAAAACGCATTTCATACCAAATGCTTTAATTATTATACATATTTAATTTAGAAAATAACATTTATTGTTATTCCAAATTAAAAATTTATAAAATTATTTTATAATTCTAAATAATGCTACATAAAAATATTTAAATCCCTTCGTAATTAATTCAATAATAAATTGCAATCTGTGATTTAAAATTTTAAATATTTTAATATTAATTATTTATTATGAATAATATTAAAGTATTTATTAAAATAATTAAATTAAGGAATTTTTTTTGTTTAAATTTCACCAATACCAAAAAAAAAAAAATCTGATGTGATCAGCATATAACCGACCGCAATGTTTATTGTCTAGTTAAATGAAAGTGTTACAGAATATTATAAAAATGTCTGTTAAATACTTCTTTCCAATTTTTAGGACATTAGTAAGCTTATAGTTAGAATACCTAGAAAAATGTAAATTTGTAGGAACTCTTAATAGAGTTCCGCTTTGTGCTAGCAAAATACCCTGAAATGCTCGCCAGTTAGTTTCGGTAACAAGCAGAACTCAAATATCAACCAGAACTCATATATCAGTATACCGAACTTGAGATACATGACCGACAGACTGACACACCGTTGATTGCTAAAAATAGTTTATTTACATTTCCCTGCCATGGAGAAGTGCATTCCCACCGAAAACTCGATATGCATAATTTGTTGCCATCACATAACCTACTTATTGTATACACAATACGGTCGATAACAAATCGAAAGGCTATTAGAATATTTAAAACGAACAGGAATCACAGCACATTTTTATGTTATATAAAATAAAAAATATAATTACCAAATGAAATCTCTGTTACATTTACGAGTATTAGATGAAAATATCATCAAATCCTTCCATAAATTTTTATCTTAAAATCGCGTATTCTATTCACGTTTAGTAATTCTCCATATAAAAATATTCAAAAATAACATTTGATCTTCAATACTTACTAATAAGAGAACGAACATAGATAGATACGTACATGCAAATATGTATATACATATACGATGTATATGTATATTATATTGGTATATGCATTATTATAATATGTATGTATAATATATTAATAAAATATCAAAGAGATAGCTTTTGAATTTTTCACGAATGAATTCCCATCAGGACATCCAAACAAATAAATGCATTTCAACTATTTACGTTTTTTTTCTTTTGAAGAAATATTAATCCGAAGGGACATTTTACCATCATCAAGAATATTGTTATGCCAAATATTTATTGTAAATTTTATAAATAGAAATGAGATAAAAAAAGTATTTTAATAAAATTAAATTGAAATTGAAATTTTCGCATTTAATAAAACACAAAAATCTTGGAATATTGAAAAATAAAATGACGCAAAGAGAAACGAAAATTCGAAAAATTTTTAATTCAAATATTTTGTGAGTAACCTAAAATTTAATTTATTTTCTTTTTAAATAATTTTCTAAAGAGTTTTCTTCTTTAAAATGGCAGTCAGAATCCAAAAATAAAGCTATGTACAACTAAGATTTTTAAGTTTTGTAGTTGTTGGCAATGTTTTAGCACCATGTTTTAAATATTAGACTGTAAATTTGCAAAATATAAGTAAAATGTTTGATTTAATCTAAGTCTTTAGTTAATACCTAATATTTACACAATTACAATGCCAAATAATGCCAAAAAATTAACATTAATTAAAAACAATTAATAAAATTTTTAGATACGTAAAATTAATTACCCCTGAAAGTATGCAATATTTTTTATAAAACAAATTTAAGTAAATACCGCGAGTAGCATTTAAAAAATTTATAATAAAACGATAATTGGTAACTATTATTTAAAATTTTGTAAATATTTTAAGTGTCACGCAATATATTCTTGCCAATTATATAAAATCGCTATCCTTAAACCATGTGGCTACAAGCTTAATATGATAGTGAAATTAACAAAAATATAACTAAATGCAATTATACTTACATACTCTATGACATGCTTTAATGAGATTTATCTATAGATATAGGGCCAAAACTCAATCCATGTAGAAATAGAGAAACTTATTATACGAACTGGTCTTATGTACATAGATATTTAAAATTTTATATACAAATAATTTTATCTTATAATGAAATGCTATACACAACATATTAATCAGAAAATTAAATAAAATCAATTGAAAATTTAAAGCAAATATTTACTAATATACATATTTGACATACATATATACATATGTAAGCATATATACAAGGAGCACATTGAATACTTTAAATTCACATCACATTTTTTAAATTTCAAAGTAATCAAAGGAAAAGAAATATCTAGCAGGGATAAAAGGGATACAAAAATTTATTAATGGAATGAATTTTTCACTAATGATCTTTGTTGCCTTTAATATCAAAAATTCCTAACTCCTTTAAGCAACATGACAACTGAATAAAAGCATTGACAACTGAAAGAGCAGTTTCTGCTCTTTTTATTTTTTTTTCAGATTAAAAAATAAAAAATATGTAATCAATAATATTTTATTTATTTATCTCTTTTTTTTCCAGTTGGGTGAAGATTTACAATCTGGTATATTCTTTTTTGGTATGTCAAATAGTCTTGTGAATCCTTTAATATACGGAGCATTTCATTTGTGTCCTTTAAAGAGAAAGAACAGTCAATATGCTCATTATAGTTTAACTAGGTAAGTTTTTTAAATTTTTAAATTTTATTAAAAACAAATATTTAAGATTACTATTTTTGTAAGAAATAAAAAGAAGGCATAATGTCAAATAAAAAAAGTAATTAACTGTTATAGTAGTTTACTAATGATTAATTAATAATTTACTGTTGCGACAACAGTGATTTGAGCTTCTTCTCTTTTCATACTCTTTATATTTTAATTTGACACATCTTCACTTGACGTTTCGACATTTGTCATTCAAATTGTTAATTTATTTTTTTTGTCTTACAGAATTAGAAATCTTAAATAAAACACTGCGTATAAAGCTGTCTGTATGTTTGATGCAAAATAATAAAGAATTTTTGTGAAATAATAAATATGAACCTCTTCCGAAAAATCTTTGATAATGGTATTTTAACGTTGAAACTAAGAAATTTTATGGAATAGTTGGTGCATGCCTTAATAAAAAAACAATAATTTTGATCTCTTTGTTGAACGTTTTTAATTTAGGCACAAAAACTTGATAATTCTATTCTTGGCTAATATTAGTTAATTATAGCAATTGAAAGTAAAATATGGAATCTGGGGATATTTACTCAAAAATTTTCCATAAAAAAGTGCTAAATTTGCTATAAACTGAAAAAGAAATTCAAAAATTTTCAAAATATCGGATCTTATCACATTTTCACATGAAATTTCAAATATCAAACATACATTCATTCTAATATACTATATTTTCGCATATACACAAAATATAATAAACTCATATTATAAACATAATGTATATAACTAACAATATTAATATAATTTTATTTTTTTTTTTCTTAAAAAAACATTTTATTAATTTCAAGAATTGTTTTACAGAGACAACTCTCATAGCTATCAAAGATCACCATCTCTATTGACAGCAACAACTCAAATCGATTCAAGCGGAAGACAACAAACATTCAAACATCAGAGATCAAGTTATTATCAACGTAATGGTAGTATGATGCGTCGTTGTGATCATTTTGATTTAACAAATTCGCCAACAATTAAAAATAAATTTCAATCAACGGCAACATCATCAGCCGTTGCTTCTACTACAAATTGCAGTAATGATATTAATGTACATTTAAATAATGATCATAGTAATTCACAAAAAGAATATTTATTACGTCAGACTTCATTTAGTAGTAGTCATATTAAGACAATAAATAACAATAATAATAATAATAACAGTAGCTCAAAATTATTATTGGATTATAATAAAAGTCATCAAAATAATGGTAATATAATTAATGATGTAACGAAAAAAACAAAAATTAATAGTAATAACATTTCTAGTGTATAATAAATTAAGGATATTTAGAATAAATAGTCATAAATTATTTTTTTTCGAATTGAATAAAATTAAATATAGTTGTAATGAAATTTTGTGATTTTACTTATAATTTTAAAAATTTTTTGTTTTTTTTTTTTTAAGTTTTTAAACAATTTATAATGAGAATGAAAGAGAAAGCAATATGGTATGCGTGTGGTATTTTTTAGGTAAGCAGCCACAGGGATGCAATTTTTAATTTATTATCTATAATTTAAAACACGATCACTATGAAATTTTAATGAAAATTATCAATTTGTGATGCCGATAAAAATTGTTCGATATTATATTCCATATAAATTCCGAGATTCCATATAAATATTAACAATTAAATTCACATGTTCAGCGTCCTATGCAATTGCTGTACGGTTTCAAAAACGTGCACCTTCCCACCACTTATAAAATTGCATAATTTCGCATAATAATGACTTTCTTATAAATATATCATACTAAAGGGAAAATGCGTCATAGAACAAAGCCTGGAATTAAACTATCAGTTTTTTGCTTTGCAATATTTATGAATATAAAGAAAAAGAAAAATTTTTGGAAAGCACAAAAAAAATTGGTAAAAATTTTTAATTTTCAAAATTTAGTTTTTTTTAAGTTTTCGCCCCTGTTTTTCAGCGCCCATTACAAATGCTTACTTTGCAAATACGGTGGAGCCGGCGCTGAATATTCGTAACAATTACGTTAATGTTAGCCAATTTACCAATTGTGCAACTTATAATTTTCACTTTACTTTAAAAACTATAATTGATTTCCACAATTTTATTTGAACTTTTTTATAATATTATTAAGAAACACTTCTATATTTATAATTCTGGTTGTAGTAGAATGTACGTTTTTATAAAAAAGAAGGCTGTATTTTAAATAATTTATAAAATTAATTAAAAAATTAAAAAAAAAAAAAACAAAAAAAAAATATTTTCAAAGAAAATTCGCGATGTAAATAAATTTAAAAAAATTGTTTCTACCTCAGCACTTTAAAATTTAAGAATTTTTAATTTGAAAGCTTTTTTATTAATTTATATAAGCTTCATGATTCAAAAAACAAAATTCAGATAAAAGTTATATAAGATGAGATTTCCAAATCAGCTATAAATTAAGAATTAAATATGAATTTCTCATAGATTACAATCCAACAATTACCAATATTCTTCTAGAATAGAAACAGTAATTTAAATAAAAAGCATATAGTGACTATACGGTGAATACAAAATAAATTACAAATTAAACACTCTGAAATATTAACGTTTACCTAAAAGTATGCAAAATTAATTATCAAATTCATGTAATGCTCACTGTACTGTACCTATAGACATAGAATTTCTTATAACATGTTTAAAACGTACTAATAAATTCATCCTTATAGAAATAATCCAATAACAATCACCCGTTGCTTTAAGCTATATGTGATTGCTTTGCAGAAAAAGTAGAGGGTGATTTCGAACACCTTTATGATTTTAAAAATATGTCATATGCTGTCTTGTTTTTTTATTGTCATTGAAAAATTTTATTAATTTTAGCTAATAATATACGATTAAGCATGATTTTTAATTGCAGTTTCCTTAAATATTTGTAAAATTAAGAAAATATTTAACCTATAAGTAAGTGATAAAACTTTTTCTTCATTAAAAAATATAAGTTATGGTGTATATACACAATTCGATATTTTAATATATACATATATACATATAAAAATTAATTATATATTCTTCAAAAATTATACACCTACATACATATTATGTATGCATAATTATATAATTGTTATAGTGTTATAAATTAAATGTAAAAACTCTATATATATATATATATATTATATTGTGCAAGAGCTTAAATTTAAGGAAAAAAAAATTTTCAATTTTAATGTTAAAAAATTTGTAAATTTCAAAAATTATGAAAAAGAAAAAATAAAAATATAAAAATGCAAAAAAATTTTATAATATAAATTAAAATTTTTTTAATTGTTTTTTAATACAAGCGTCCGCCACTCCCTCCCACTGTCTAATTTTAAAGAAACTTCACAATTTGTTAATTTTTTTAACTAAAATCACACATATTTTTTGTCACAACAATATAGTGCAGAAGATTTGGGTTATAGGAAGAATTGAATTGCAAAATGGGTAAATATATTAAACTTATTATATAATATACCTTGTTCTAAAATATCACAATGCGAAAATTATGATAATTTTGTATTTTAATAATTAACCTATATATTTCACTAAATAAATTAAATAGAAGATTCTTTTTCTCAAAATTTATGATCGAAATTTATTTGAAAAATACAACCGGAACGATAGAGAATAATAAAACAGAAAAGGGTGTCCCAAAATTAACATTTTCAACAAAACATTTTCAGCGTTGAGGCTTTTCATTTGGACGACTTTGTTAATCGACAAAATTATCGCATTTAGGGTTCAGAAAATCTACAAGTGATTATTAACGAGCAAATGCATCCACAACGTGTCACTGTTTGGTGCGGATTCTGCATTGGAGGCATCATCGGACCATTCTTTTTCAAAAATGCAGCTGGAAACTGAAGCAATAGTGGCGAGTATCGCGACATGATAATTCAGTTTTTTGTTCTAAAATTGCAAGATATGGATGCGGACGGCATGTGGTTTCACCAAGATGGTACCATATGCCATACTGCCTGAGAAACAATTCAATTATCTACTGCATGAGTCATCTGGTCGTGTAATTTCCCGTTTTAGTAATCAGAATTGGCCGCCCAGATCATGTAATTTAACGCCGTAAAATTTTTTTCTTTGGCATTTTTCAAAGTCTAAAGTTTATATGAACAAGCCCGCGACCATTCACGTTTTGACATAGAATAAATAATATTATATTAAAGTAGGAGAACTCGCTTATGAGAAAAGCACTTTGTTGAACATGTTGAAAATAAATTTCTTTTTAAAGTTTTAGAATGCTGTGGGAGTAAACATAAAAATTTCTTATTAAATTCAAATTCAGTTAAAAATTTTATACCATTCTTCGCCAAAGATTAATCACTAACTTTTTCTAAATGTCAAACAATAAACAAAACATTTTGACGAAAATTTTTTTTCCATAAATTCGGTAACATTCGAAATATTATTTGTTGTAATTTATTCAAAACCACCCAATTATTCATTAAACTCAATATAATTATATAATGTGGCTACAGTTGAAGTAGTTTAAGTCATCTTTTATTAAATAAAAATTAACCCAGTTCTTTAAATGACACTCCAACTTCAAATAAAATGACATCCAATGACAATTTTCAATGATGACAGACAAATCGGCAATTTCCTCATTTTGTACCAACGATTATGTCATCTCTCAACCACAATATTATAAGTACAAAACTGTAATAATTTGACAGAAGCAAAATATATTTTACATATTTTTTTTTATTGTATTTTTATATATTTTTTTTTAAATAATTTACATAAAAATTCAATTTAAACATTTTTATTTTGTTACAGTATAACATACTTAAAGTATAATACATAAATTATGCAAATAAATAATAAAATTATATAAAAGTAAGTATATTATGTAAGACATTTATACATGTTTGTTTTATATTTTGGGAATGATTATTTAGAAAAAAATAACATTTTAATATAGTAAAATTTTATATTAAAAAATTTATTATATAAAAAATAATAGTAAAAATAATAAGTAATATTATATACATATACGTGTATAGGGCTCAATATACAAATAATACTTCCAATGAAAATATGCAGGGAGCAGGAAAGGTACACAAGCAAATTTATAAATTCATCTATGGCATGTATAATATATTAAAATTAAAAATAAATAGATTTCGTGCACTTGTATTTTCGAATATGTTAGTATACAATGTTATAAATTGAAGAATTTTTGACTGGTCTTTGAATTAAAATGAAAAACTATGTAGAAATTAGTTTATACACAGTAAGTAATGCAATAAAAATGAAGCTCAGCCGAAATTTTCGAGTGAATAAAATAATTTTTTGAAATTTCACAGAGAAGAACCGTTCCCGAATAAATTATAATAAGTGGTGATACAAATACATTTCTTTCAAGTAAGTTTAAAGTCAGGTGGTCCTAAATCTTATGTTCATATTTTTCATAAATGTACATAATTAATGTAAAGTTTCATTATCAACTATTAACACTATAAAATTTTAGAAAAGTGTATTGTTATATATAAAAATCTCATATAGAGTATCTCTCAGTATATAGAGTAGATTATTACACATAGTTTTCACATACATATTATACCTATTTATTATCCTTATATACATATGTCGTTAATATCATCTAAAGAAGCACTTTTAATACAAAGAGATTATTTTATTGTTTTATTTAAATTCATTTCACAGGCGCTCACTATACAATAATGTAAAAATTATACAATTTTAAGAGTGTAACAGCTAAATTACTGCTTATTCAATTATCACAACATAACACAAAAACATAACAGAAAGAGAGAGCGGAGGTCAAACTTTATAATAAATTTAAAATAATTTTTCTTTTTTAAGCGCAATAAAAATTTGAAGTATGTTCAAATTTTTACCGAAAAAATCGGACCTTAAAAATAAATATTTTTAAAGTTCTATAAATTATACCGTCTAATTTCCATAATTCACAATAAGAAATTTGAAAAAAGGTATTCTTAATCATTTTAATTCTCTGAGTTAACTGAGAATAGTAAAAAAAATTAAAACGTCATAAGAACTTGAAAACAATTTTCTGTTCGCCATCTTTTGTTATGTTGTGATAACTTTTAAATTTATTTTACATTTAACATTATTTTAAATTTAATTACACTTACAAAAGGTACAAATTTTGAGTAAATATAAATTTTTATTTTTACATTTTTGTTGTTGTTTTATTAAGCCAAAGGTTAAGCTAATAAAACTTTTAAATTTTTTTTTTAATTTTAAAATTAAATAAAAAACCCTTTATTTCTTCTCAAACAACTTTCAACTTTTACTTAATTTTTGTATGTGTACTCATTTACCTTCATTGATTTCATTAATTTAACAAATCCTTTTATTGATTTTTTTCATCCTTTCGGTTTATTTATGAATTTAAACCATATTCCAATGTTTCAATATTAGTTCGTAAACGATTTTCATCACTTTGTTTTCTTTTATTTGTACTGATGCTGCCGCTGCCGCCGCCGCCGCCCCTTAAACGTTTAATACAATCTCGAATAAATGAATATCTTGTACGGCTTATAACATAAATGTACGGATCAAATGTAAAATGTAATGCCATCAATATATCAGATATTGTGAAGAACCAATGTTTATTTGGTAATCGATTTGGCATTAATGCCAATGGCACTGATATCTGTATTATAGAAAAATAATTAATTATAGAAAAATAATTATAGAAAATAATTAATTTAGTAATTAAAATTATATTTTTAATTAATTTAAGAAATTTTAATAACAGTGGTTGTTTTATCCTAGACCGTAATTTTCGTGTTTGATGCATACACGTACATATCGCAGAGGGTATATTTTAGGTATGGTAAGTAGATTAATTATCAAATCAAAATTCAATTCCTAAACTAAGACTAATTAGGTAAGGGCCCAGGAGTTAATAAAATTCCTGGAATGGACGAAAATATTTACCGTAAATATTTTCAGTGGTGTAAATATTTCGAAATGAATGTATTCAAAAATGTCATTTAATACGTATGTATATATATAAGAAATTCGAAAGGCCAAAGTGGCAATCAAACTTTGTATTCAATTTCAAATTAAAACCAAATATAAATAAATGCGCGAGATATTTTAGAAAATAAATTTCCTTATACAGAGTGTTTCGTATTAGGTGACAAATAATTTTTGGGATGATTCTTTGATAAATTTCCGGCAAAAATTTGTATGGATTATGGAGGGTGCAGATATATTCATTTTCAAGCTACAGCCTGTTGATAAAAAATTTGTCAGATTTTTTTTTGCATTTAAATAAATACGTATAACATCGGAAAAATGCGATAATAGAGTAACCATCGATAACTTGTTTTACAGCCGATTGATTGCTCTTTATTTTCGTTCTTACAATCAATTTGATTTGACCCATAGTTTTCGAGATAATTTAAGCAAATATTGAAATCGTTCCTTTAGTTCTATTTTTAAGAGCAACACCACAACTTAAACTACGTCAGCTTCTTAATTCAATTAAACCTCACCTTAAATCGTATTACATTTGATTGGAAATTTCATTTTTTTTTGTTAAACTTCAACATATGATATGAAAAAAAATGTATAAAAATAAAATGAAATCAAATTTTCACACTATAATAATTTTATTAGCCCTTTCGAATTAATACACTTGCAATTTTATATTCCACTCTGATTATAGTATGCAAGTACTGCAAATGAAGATGATTTAATTTTCATATTGAATTTCGAGAAAAAAACTTAAAGTGCTTTTTCAACAAATTAAATTCTTATCAATTAAACTGATCCCAAATTAATGCTTTTCTCGTATTCATCAAAGAAGTAAAGATGAAAAATTAATGGATTGTGTCGAAAAGGTTTTTTTTTTTCAAAAATAATTTTTTTTCCCCCTTTTTTATTGGAAAAATATTATTTTTTAAAGTGACACAAAAAAAAACCAAACATGATCAAGGTAAATAAATTTTAAAAACTTTTTAAATATAAATTTTATTGGAAAGAAAAAATTAATGGGAAGTTCCTATTGTAAACAAGCTCCATATTTCCAAGAACTATAGGAGTTTATTTTCACTTTAAAGAAATTTTTAAAATGTCATAGTTGCAATGTTTGTTCACTAGTTTAATGATACCATGAAGCGACACTATGTAATTTAAAACTTGAATTCGAGAACTAAATAAAAACCAAGTTTGGGAAGATTTAAAGACTCTATTTGTAGAATTGTAGAGCTTGTAGAATTTAGATTAACATTTTTATTTATCAATTTCATTTAAATCTTGTTAAATTTTAACGAAACAAAATAATTAATTACAATAAAGAAAATCTTCATCAAGTAATTGTACAAATAAAAATTTTATGACCATATCAAAAACAATTTTCCAGTACTTTAATTGATGATGTACAAAAGATTACATGGGAGTACATGAAAAATGAAAAATTTTTTTTTGAATTTTAAGAGTAGAAAGGATCAACATAAATAATCAACATATTGTTCTAACAATAAGAATTGTATCTCTCTACCCCCATATTTAGAAATCGTTTTTACTATAGAAAACACATGCATTTTATACATGGACACTTTAAAAATCAATCTATGAAAATCAACGATATGAATTAAAAGTGATCTCTTTTATATAGATTAATCAGATTGTATTCAAGTTGACAAACATTTTAATCTTTATTCATGTATAAAATTGGATAATAGTATACATAAATATTCATATAAAAATAGGAGGGATTGCAGTGAATCCTTTTTTTCTCAATTATGCTTAAATAACAAGTAAATTTTTCAATAGCTCTTGTTTGCTTACCTTTTTAATAAATTTTGTGTTTTCGTGTATTGGAAATTCAATTCACAATTTTTCTTCAAAACTTATCGGATACAAGCGATTTAGATAATTAATTAACAGATTATAATATATACAGTATATACATTGTCCATGAGATTGGTGTTCCTAAACCTGGGTGATAAAATATTCTTTGATTTAAAAGATGAAAGGCGGCATATAACATTTTTTATAAATTGAAAAGCCATGAAATTTCGTTCCAAAAAAGATTTCACTGGTATTAAATTATTTGTTAATTGCAAAAACAGAGAATCAAAATTTTTAAAAGTTTGTTCTAATTTCTCAGACAGTAGGACTCAACGTGAGATAAAGGTTTTTGTCATGGCCTTCAACTTGATACCATATATGTGGCAAAAATCTAGAAAACTAAATCCAGAGACCAAATCACTATGATGTGCTTACTAACTCATATCTACCTGTCACATTTCGCGGACTATAAGGTCAACCATCTTATAAAGGTCAATAGCTCGAAAAGAGTAGCGACAAACAAGAAAATTCCAGAATTATATTTTGCTGTTCGAAGTCTACCCTGTTATCTTTTTTAAAAATACATATCGACGAATTTGCAACACCATACATATAAGAATGCTCAAATACGAGCGTTCTTCCCAATCAATGCACCCGCCAATAAATAAATAATATACACTTACCATTTGTGGCATCCAACATATAACAAATGATATACTCAAAAATGTCATTAATTTTGCAAAATTTTTTTCTGTATTCGATATACTATTCTGATGATATAAAGAACCATGTCCATTACAACTTCCATTACTTTTACCTCTTGTAATAGCTTCACGTTTTGATCCAAAACTACTACAGCTACTTGACATTGTATTTTGTGCATTACATGAATTTAATGATGGTGCATGATGATGATGATGATGATTCTGATGATGATACGATGAATGACATCTACTATTATTATCAATATCAGTATTAGAAATAAGTGCTTCATTTACACTATTTGAATTTAAATTCATTGTAAATGTTGTTGATGTACTTGCTGTTGTTGTATTTGTTAATGTTGTACTATTGCTTGCATTTAAATTACGTTCTCTATTAACCAAATTGTAATGAATTGATTTTTTCGATTTATGATATCCAATAAAGCATAAAACACGTACAACAAATAGATTGCATACAACAATAATAGTGCATAATAAAGTACCTGTTAAATTAGAAAAAAAAAATTATTAAAAATGGTAGAAAAATGTACGTATATTTATAGTATGTACGTATATGTATAGCATACATATAAAGAATAACATTTCTACAGTATGAATTGTTAATACATTCAAAATAAAATCAATAAAACGTACAAAAGATTTAAAAGATTTCATTTAAACATTTTGACTTTTCTATAAAAGTTATTCTGAAAAATTCTAATTAAATTATTTATTGAGTAAAGTTTATTCTCCTTATACAATTATTTTACAAATAAGACAATACAAATTTAAATCAAAATTCATCTCTTCTCTCATAAGATATTTTGTACAATTTCTATTTACTGTCTGACAATTTCTCTTAAATTCTAATAGTGTATACAAAAATTAAATATTCATAGCACAACATTCGCAAATATTTTCAAAGTATCACTATATACAAATCCGTATTTTATATCTCGATTTAATTTGAAATTTAATAATTAAAAGAATAAATTGGACATAAAATTGAGAATACAAACGAATGATTCAATATTTAGGCAGACAATTTTATAATCAGCCAGAATTAGCTTCACGTTTTTGTGCCTTAATACAGTTGTAAATACGAAGTCATTAAGCTGTACGCTGATAATAAATAAAAACTGTGAATGATTACATGGGTACTCCCTAAAGATGAATTAAAAATTACTTATGTTATTAAGAATTTCTTATTTAAAATTGAATTAAAAGAGTGTTAATTATCTTAATCTTCAAAAGAATTATGTTCAGTCAAACAGAATAACTACTATTGTTATAAAAATATATGATAATATAAATATAAATATTATTTAATTTCATGTATGTCGGTACTCTTCACAACGTGATTGATACACGTTCAGGTATATTAAAATAGTGCCATAGGACACTCTCGTAGAATAAATCTCGTAGCAATCTGGGTCTATTATGGTTATTTCTGGATTGCTATCTCGTAGCAATCTGGGTCTACTCGCAACAACCCCTAATCATCATAAATTTGGTACATAGTTCTATAGCGTGTATATTTGTCCAAAAGATGTTCGGATACATCTAGATATCCTTAGTTCGAAATATTTTGTCCTTGGTCGAAATACTCCAATATACCTATTTCCGCACTGGAACACATACCTGATCCACATAATTCTGTAGTTTCCTATCGAACAGTTAACAAATTATCGAACAGACGGTTTTAGTCTGAGCTGCACCAAAGAGCACAAATTCTGCGTCACAGACGGAGAGAAGGTATATCACAAAGTGCCTTCCGAAACTTCTTCCCTGAAAGAAATGTTATCTATATAAAATAGTGATTACTCAAAGGTAATGGTGACAGAGCTCCGGTATAATAGTGACAGAACTGTGATAGAGCTCCGGTATATGTATACCAGGCTATATATGTATACCAGGCTACTTCTAAATATTTTGGTTGAAAACGGAATTGTCTATTCACGACACTCTCGCAGCATATAGAGGTATGTCCCGTCTACCGCCGTCGGCTTAAATGGCTTAAATATGTCAACTGGCCAGCCGATCTGCCATTCACTGCTGTTGTGAGCTTGACGATCCTTTGCCATTTCTTCTAAAATGGTGGCGACTTAATAAAATTTGCTCAGACAGATGTGAAGAGTTATTAAATTATTTAATCAAAGACGTTCAAAGAACAGTTATATATTAAAAGCAAAATCCCTTTTAAATCGATTCTTTCGATTCTACCATACAATAATCTACTTAATCTTCATCCTAAATTAAATACCACATCCATAATTGCATAATTTTTTAAATTTTTTCTTAGAATTTTAATTTGAAATTAAATAATCTCTATTTAAAATTGTTTAACATCAAACACTTTCAAAATATAAAAAAGTTTTCAAACTAAAAATCATATTAAAATATTGTGGTAAGAAGTTGTACTGAATTATTTATTAAAATTTCTCAAATTTCATATTTTCCATATACCATTTAAGTATCATCACATTACCAAAAATTTATTTCTTAAAGCCCATAATTCTTAAGAAAATCAAAAACAAAATTTAATTCATAAAATAAGAAAACTTTGTTCTCTTTTTTTATACACTCAACATCGACATAAATCAATTAATTCCTTTCTCTAAGGGATCCTTAATAATTCCATTACATATCAAAAAAAAATTTCCCCAACCATCTTCATTTTTCATCAATAATAATTTTGGTTTATAAGAAGTTAAAATATGAATTTTCAAGAATCTATATTTTTTAATAGAAAGAAAGATCTAACCATTTAACTGAAATGGCATGATGATACAAAAAAAATCCTTAATCACTCTACCTATTAATGCTATTATTATTTTTATAACATTGAATATTTTTTTTTTGAATAAATTCTTTAATACCATCTCTTTATCTTCAAAATAACACATAACCTTGGAAATGTCATTTCAATAACATAAAATTATTAAACACTGAAAGAAATACAATTTAATCACACAAAAAAAAATCAAATTAAGTAGAAAAAATTTAAATCTTTTCAGAGAATCTTTTATTTATCCAAATCTTAATAAAATATTTTTTCTAAATAAATAAAATTAATAGTTAAAATTATGATAAAGAATAATTTTTTCAGAATTTTTTTGTACTCATAAATTGTCAGAGCTCTCACTATCTCAATCTTTATTTGTCGCAACAACCAAATACCTTTAACATTTCCAAGGCTGTTGCCATAACTCTGTACCGTCACCATCATTATACCAAAAAAAATCACCGTGAAAAAGTAAACCTGAAATCCATTTCATTTCATTGTCAAATAAATTTCGGGAAGGTAATTGAACAAAGAGACAATGCTGTAATTACTGATTTAAACTGAAAGATTTTTTTCCGCTATTTTAAAGTATGGCATGAAAATATTGAAAATGAATAAAGTTAGAGAACAACAATTGATTCAAATGTTTATATATTTAAATTGACAAAAAATATCCTTTTAAATAACAATTTACGTATGGCAGTAAAGAATATTTAAAACTTAAATTTGTAGCTTTCTATAATTTATGATTTAAATTTGTAATATTTTATAAACGTCCCGGTCGAATTTTATCAACTGAATTATACCCAGCGCATCTTCAAAATCTTACTATAAAAACTATTTTTGGAAAAATTTAAAATCAGTTTTTAGGGTTGTGAGGCATTTATCTGAACCTGTCTAGTCAATCCACAAAAACTTCACGGATATGTCTGTGTTATAATTAGACCAAATGGTGTTAAATATTATACAGCTAGCCTTCCTATTTTTTCAGATATTTAATATTAGCTTTTAGGATTGTTTTGCACCTACCGAACTAGTAGATCGCTGCCATATACAACAACTATTACCCGCTGCGCGGAAGTGTTTAATTACATTAACAGCCGTCCTTTGTAAAAAAGAAACAATTTGTGAAAGTTTTGCGGTGTTTGTATTATTTGTTTTTTTGTTATCGTCCGGTCGGACAGGCGGACTTCTCTAAAATAACTTAGAATTGTACGTTGAGCAAGAATTTATATACATTTTCATACCGCCGGCAGCTCCTTCAAGTGGTTATAAACTCCATACTAAAGTTTACTAAATTTATTTCAATGGCTTAAACGATTTTGTGTATTTTGCTCATACAAAAAATTGGTGTATTATTAAAACAAAGCAGCCAGAGAATGAAGCGTAATTGAAAATTGTAATAAATAAAAAATGAGAGTCTTTTAATCAAACCGAATTTAAAAACAAGGTTCTGAACACTCTGAAACTAATACTGAAACAATCAAAACAATAAAAATTCGCGACTGTTCATAACGACTTTGAAAGACTGTTTGACATTATAAGATGGGAAAGCCTGGAAAAATTGAATTGATACGGTCACAAAATGATTTAGAAATGCCTTGATTAGAAATGTTCGTTAAACAAGAGCACTATACCTAGAAAGGTATTGAATAATACAATAGAACCTAATGCGTCCTCTAGCAGAACTCAATCGTTCCGTATACAATAAGTTGAGTTGAAGTTAAAGTCAACTTAATTTTTGAAGAACATATGGAAAAGCTAACTACCTTGACAGCATCACATTAAAAAGATGTTGAAACTAATTAGAGTAGATTGCAAGTCCGGCGAAAAAGATACAACAAAAAAATTGTCGGTCTTTAAAAGCAAAATCCAAGAGCCATCTGCAAATTATTAGCAGCCCAGAACTTATTCTAGCTCCGTGTATCAGCTGGAGTCGAATAAGAATAAGAATCTAGGTTTAGAATTCAGCAAAACAGAAAGACAAATTTTTATGCTCTTTAAAAAATGTTCTCTCGAATCAAATTATTTTTCCTATATTACAATTACTTAACCTAAAAAAAACTGTAAAGATATTCGTCGCAACTTTTTTCTACCCCACACCAAAAAATCTGCATGGAAAGTGAGAAGATTTGTGATATTTTACAAAAACCAATGTCACAAAAAGATAATTATCACAAACCAATGTCATAATTTGCTTTATTCAATACAAAAAGAGCATAAACCCATAAATATACAAAAGGACTATTTTCATCCTTCACAGATGTTTCGAAATAAATAAAAAATTACCCGCAACTTGACCTTCGAAAAAGTTTATATTTTGAAATGTTTTCTTTTTTCATTCTTTCAAATATTTCTCATTAAAATATCAGAGATACGAGGACGACGACGACAACAACGATGACTTTTCCTTTTTACGGGTTACACAAGTACAATACGATATTTTTTCAGTATTCTACATAAATAATGACAAAAAGGATCCCTCTTTTTTAACAATAATAATTTTTATTATTTACAGAAATAAACAAGAAAATATAAAAAGAAAAATCAACTCTAATATAATTAAAATATTGAAATTCTGATAAATGAAATCGGTGCAATATTTAATTATCCTTAAAAATAAAAGATTTAGTGAAATTATCTTTAAAATTTTTGTCACTTAAAGTTTTCGCGTTTAATGAAAATTTGTGACTTTAAATTCAATGATTTTTTAATTAT